TAGACACTTCAGTGTATTATTTACCGGTTTCCATACATTTGCAATGTCCCATTGACATCCCCGGTCTATCCCTCAAAGACAATTTGTCGACATTATTTCAGAAAACCGTGTGGACACAAACACTCTTCAAAACTCTTCAACAATTAACAACGATTCCTAATTTGACCAAATTCGACTATTTGTCAATTCGGAATTTGGTGTCGAGTTTGAAAGCATTGAAACCAATTGATGCTTCGGGCTCTATTGCGAACCCGTTGTTTGCGCTCGGCACTGAAGTCTTAGCTAAAATCTTGAAATACCAAGCGTCGCAAGAGATCATTCAAAATTTGGTCGACTTCTATCGAGAGATCCCACCTATTCACGCCGCCGTGTTTTTGGATTCAATTCAAGGGAAATACCCATCAGAGATGTACTATTCATTTCCGGGAATCGCCTCGCTGGTGAACTTTGTAGTTACAGTTGAGAAGTTACCAAGTGATTGCTACACACTAGCTACTTCAATACGATTCCCACAACTTAATACTGAAACAACACCTTGTATCTTTTCAGTCACTGCAAACAACTACTTTTACTCATTAAATATCGACGGAAAGACTAATACAGCTCTATTGGATGTGAACATCGTCTCGTCGTCTTATGGAAATGGTAAGAATGTGTCGACGTCACCCGCGACAATAGCAACAAAGGAAACGTATACAACACATTTGACTTTACTTCCTGAGAAATGGAATGAAATCTTCCTCATCCATTTTAAGACCAACAACTTGATGAAGGTCGTCATCAATAGTGAGTCCTCTCAAGAGTTCGATGTCCCATTCATCCCACATAAAGTCAAGAATTTGAGTTTTTCAATAGGAGGATTGATGGGGAAAAGCTACTCCTATTTCAAGGGAGACGTCGCCCAATTTGCGTGGTACTACGGCCAAGTCTCTCCATGTGGGATACCCACCTTTCTTATCTCTCCAAAAGTTTGGTTGTCTTTCTTATGAACACATGTGAATATAAATTACTTGCAGAATTACTCGGCGGTGACGAGTCATTCGTCCGTGAGAGAACTTCACACCATCAAAAATCGAGTTGCGTCCAAGGAAGTGAAAATAGTCGAAAGTATGATCATATCCGGGGCGCCAATCTATGTAGTTGTGACACGGTCTATAGCTGACATCTTTGGGACGTATGGAGGGATATCATCCTTTCTTCCATTACTCCGCTGTGGTAACAATGCGAAGGTCACAACGAATATCGGCAAAATCATCCACCTCTTCTTACATTGCAAGTACATTGATCCGGAAACAGCAACTACTTTGATTAAAGAGACTGCAAGTATCGCTCAGAGTTATGTGGTCAACACTTCCATTGTCGACGATTATATCAAACTGTGTATGTCATTAATAACACGTGGGTATTGCACTGAGACTATTCTTCCATTACTCATTGACATTCGATTGTGGAGGGGAGTGGAATATTTATTCGATTACTTTGTCCAGGAACTCATTCAAAAGTGCGCCAAACTCGACGAAAAGTGTTTTGAAGGGGCGGTTGAGGAAATGACTCTCTTGAACATTTCCTTCGACAAAATGTGTTCCGTCGACGAAAAGTGGAAGTACAGTTATATCACATTCCTCGCTTCTATGCTCCCAAACACAATTTTACCCCTCCTCTTTTCATTCTTACAAAACCCTAATGTGTCGAATGGACAACTTGAGAATGGGGTCATTCTATTGATTAACATCATACAGAAGTATCACGAACTCTTCATTCAATTAAATGGACAAATTACAGTCTTTATTTCACTGTCTCAGAAGTCCAAAAATTTGGCATTGTTAGTAGCAAAACTGGTGTCGTATCTCCAACCAACGTCTGACCAATTTTTACAGTTGACACAGATTCTCGCGATCTTCCCATTTGACGAGAAAACATATTTTTCACTGCTTCAATGCACGGCAGGTAAAGTGACTCCTTCGTTCTCGGAATTCTCAGTCACACAAATGCTCACTCTTCAAAATCCACAATTTCTCTTTATAACATTCACTCTTTTGGCTTCACAGCGGTCGTTTCCTGAACGTGTAGTCGACGATTTATTGCTCTTCCCTTCCGCTATTCTCAACAATTTGCCAATCAGTTTTCTTACGGAAGTTGCTCGAACGGCGTTCCAAACAACTTCCAACGACAACCCATCCTCCGATAAAATATCTGAAGTTGTTAAAACCAAAGTGTCGCAGTTTTTGGTGAATATAGTGATCTCTCGAGAACTCGAAATCTTCTCGTTGTTTGTTTCCTTTTTCATTACATCGAGTTCTTCTGCGAAAAACTTGTTATTTGCTTCCTTGCCGTTTTTGCGGCAAATAGTGTTGAATATGCCCCATGTGTCGAACGAATTGTTCATTCAAATATTGAGTTATGTTGGGTTCCTCGATTGTCAAGTCGAAGTCCCCAAAGACTATTTGAAGGAGTTGTACTTCGCACTCCCACAGTCCTTCTTCTCCACATACAGCAAAGTGTCAACACAAAAAGACTTTAAGACAACATTTTATTTGCAAGCGACTATGATATTAAAAAATCCACACTTGTTGAAAGAAGACAATTTAAGACAACTTCTCAATTTGGCACCAACACACATCTCTGCTCTCTTCTGTCAATTTGCAGTGCATCAACTGAAGTGCACTGAAAAGCTTCAAAAAGTTGCTTTAGAGCTCTTTGGCGGGATGTTAGCTCCTCAGATGTTTCAATCGATTTTGGAAAGTGCGCACAACACGACGTTCGATGAGTCACAATACAAATCGTTCATGGAAACGTTTGTCTTGGAATATAAGGAAACACACATCATTAACATGCCAAAAATTTCGACGGTTTCTATTCCAGATGTTCCGTTGACACTACTTCCATTCGACAGAGATTATATAGGGTTCGCCATCTTTGATAAGATCAAACAAAACTTCCTTAAAAAGAGGTGTAAATGTGTCATGAAACGGGCGATGGACCATTCTTTGTTCTTCCAAGCTAAGAGTGAAAAGTACTCCGGATTTCGAGAGGAGTTCTTCAACCCTTTGAACCCATTTTTCCCAAGTAAAATGGTCGACGACCCCCCTATCAAAGTGTTATCGTATGAATCCCTGTATCTTCCTGACAATTTCCCATTCACACAAATCCCCTTTGAAGGAAAAGACGTGGTCGACTGTGTATTAAAAAAACTCTCTCTTTGCGTGTGCTGCAAAATGACTTTCGACTGTCAGGCGAAAGAAATTCGCCTGTGGACCGTGTCTGCCGTCCACATTCTTTCATCTGACGATATCCGAGAGGTGTATCCAAGACTCAGCAACGGCCTAATGTGTGCAGTAGAGTTTGTTCGACGACGCGAGAAGTCGTACTTTGTGTCTTTTGAGAACGAAAAAGTCTGTTCGTCTGTGTTAACAAAAGTCCTCAACTTTTTCACAAAGACAAAGTCGTTTGGCGTCATCAACCCACCTAAAAAAGTCCCTCAAAGCATTGTAAAGAGTTGGGTGGAGGGCACTATGACGACGTATGAATACATCTCTGCTATTAACAACTTTTCTGGAAGATCATTAATCGTGCCCGACACGTATTACACGTTCCCAAGTATCGAAGACAACGAAGTCTTGTCGATGAAAGAAGAGACGCTGATGGAACACGCTGCTAATACATGCTGTCTGTTATACACTCACATGCCATTCACTAAAATCCTTCCGGTGTTCCAACTTCGAATAGCACGACCACCAGCAACAGTGAAGGATATAAGGATGTTAGCAGTCAATTGCATTCCACAGGTCTATGTGAGTCAGAAGATATACTCGGGAATGGGTGGAACTGAAGACGGAATTTCATATGGGAACAAACCAGTGTTTGCAACAATGTCAAAACCAGTTACTATGAAGCAAGCGAGTAGTCCGAAGTTGGGGTCGAGTGCGTTAGAAGTTGTGTATAAAAAGCGAATGGAACTTGAAGATGTGTTTATACAAGAACAGATAGGCAATTGGATTCAACTCAATTTTGGGAAGAAAGGTGTGTGTAGTATTCAGGGGTTGGTCACCAAAAGGAAGAGATGTATTGACTTTAAAGTGGACAAGAGAAATTTGGACCAAGTCTCTTTATTTAAAGATGAGTCGAACACACAAATATATTCCATCAATGTGCAACGGAACTTGATGTACCAAACTGAAATGAATGAAGTGATTTGGATGCAAGACAAAGAAAATAAAATGAAATGCGTACCAAGCCCAGACACGGTGAGGAAAGTGTGTTTAGACAAGTACAAAAATAAAGTAGTAGTGTCGTATCAAATGAATGCAGATTATGTTTCGATGTCATGGAAGGAATATAAGAAAAGCGTGAGAATTGAAAACACAATTTCTTTGTGTTACTTAATGGAAACGAATTACCTGACGGATTTGGAAATGTTTGTTGTCACTAAAGCAGGCAGTGTTATGGTGTATAGAATACTTCTTGATGACAAAAACAACGAACTCAAATGTACCCAAGTCTTCACGGTCTTTGTTGGACAAAGTATTAAGTCTTTCGATGTTTCAACTTACTATGGATTCTTTGTTTGTAACACTTCTTCAACACTGGTCGGGTATTCTGTTCATGACGGTTCGGCTCTATTTCGAGTGCCTTCGACTTGTAAGTTTGTTCTTGTACTATTTATAACTTTTTTATAATAGTTATGAAACTATATTATACTAGTATTATATTTCTATAAATAGATGATATTATACTAAATAATAAAAATATTATAAATAAACTATATTTGATTGAGTATTGAATAAGGTATTGACACAGAGAATATTCTGCTGTTCTCCTCTTGGAAACACATTTGGCATCACTGGAGACGTTCTCACGTGTTACGACAGATACGGCGAGATGTATGACATCTATGAATTAAGTGACATGAAAAACAAAGAGTACGTCTCGTTGGCTTGTTTGGCGTGTGGCTTTAGGGAAGTCGTTTTTATCGCAACAACAACTGAAGTTTTGGTTGTGTTGAACCAAGTCAATTCGTTTAATATTATTGGCCGAATCAATGTGGAACAAAAATACCCGGACTTCAAAATTCAAGCTCTCAAAACAACACCCTCCATCGAAACAACTTCAAACCCAACGAACTGGAACGTATACGTCATTCTCATTCATAAAAAGCTTTTGTACTCCACTTTCATTGGACTCCACGTCGATTGTTTCAAGACAATGATTTTGAAGTGATTTGTATTGTACTACTTTTAGTATCTAATAGATAGCTTTATAATATAAATTATAGTATAAATATCGACATATATAAAGTTATTCAAATGGTATATTTTTATACTATTTATATCAGAATATATACTCTAGTAACTGAAACTTAAATTATACTATAATTTAATTAGAGCAACAAAGTGGACTCTTTTTCAGTGCTCTTAGCCTTTGTGACGACATCAACTAATTGCCGCAACAACGTGGAAGCTGCTATGCGAAGTTCTTTAAATGGGTGGTTGACCTCATCGTCGTGGAGTTGTTGTGCTAACTTGTCAAACAAATCGTAACACGTGGCAACAACAAGACTTGGTTTGTTCAATGCAATGATTTGGATGGTCCCAGTGAGTAACCCCGCCCCGACTCGTTGATTTATTCTGCAATTCATGTATAATAGAATCCATTCCCTCAACACTTCTATAGTAGAATAATCTTTTAAGTATTGAATTGATAAGTGAATTGCGTATTCATATCGATTCTCATAGACCCAAACAGCCATATAATTGCGCAATGGGAGTATCCACTCTTCATTGTATCCATTCTTTATCATCGTTTTAATGACGATCTCTCTGTCCAATTCAATTTGATCCAATAACACTTGAATCCCTCTTTTTGGTGGAATGGTCTTCATGTGTACTATCGAACTCAAAATGTCAATTTGCGAGTCACAAAAGAAGTCGAAATTGAAGCGGTTTTTGAGGAGTAAGACATCACGAGCTATTTGTTCCAAATACACCGAATTGTACTTTGAGGAATCATTGATCACCATAGACCCTATTTTCAAAAGATGTGCAAAGTCTTCATATTTCAAGTTGGTGTAATCACTTAATAAGTCCATCCAATACAATAGCTGCATCTTTTGTTGTGGCTCTTTTGGTTTGGATCCATGTTCTGTGTCTTTAAGAACTTCACTCTCATTATGTTTGAGTTCTTGAACACTTGACACAATATCCTCCACGTCATCACTCCCATCTTCTGGAGCAACTTCTTTCATTAACGTGTCAACATCGTTTTCTCGTTCGTCGACAGTTGCGACATCGAAGTCTTCAATTGTATCATCAATGTTGTGAGTAAATACCTTTCTTTGTGCTTTATTGAAGAAATCAATTTCTCGTATCACAACACTCCCCTCTTTCCGCATTTTCTCAATACCACTTTCAATGCGGTACGAAACTCCTTTGACTAACAAATAGCTCCCAACTCGAAATGGTGAACACCGCAAGATATACACTATGTAATGTGTTAACACTTTTTGTGTGGCTCTGCTTGAGACGCTGATGTATTGCGTGTTACTGTACAACGCAAAGATGGAATGAATTATATCATTCGCCTTTGGACTTTGACTTAGCTTCACCACTAGATACTTCAATATAGTATCGTTAATAGATAATTTATTATATTTTATAGTTTCAAAGAACAAAGTCGAATCAACGCCAATTTCCTTCAAGCTGATTCCGTCGAGGACATAACACAACTTCTTTTCATTTCCTTTGAGAGTGTTAATTAGAACACCGATGATGTCTACTCCTCGCCGAGTTCCACTATTTTTGATCCAAATCAACAAAGAATCAACAAAAGAATCATCAACATTTTCTTTTAGTAGTTTCTCAAGCCCTCCTCGTATTGTCTCGATACTATTAAACTCCGCCAAGCCTTTTATAAACTTTTCTTCCCCAATCACAGTCTTCCCCTTCACTATTTTATAGACTAAATAGCTACAAAAAGTTCTGTCTTCAAAAAATTCGTTGTTTCCCTCCATTACACGATTCGAAATTAACATCGCCACTTTCATCATTCTTCTCACAACACTTTGATGTGTTTTGGATAATATAACTTCGACGCATCCTTTCTCTTCAAAGAACTTTTGAACCACAAAAGAGATTCTACTAACCACATCACTTTGTAACCCTTTCATATTTTCAACAAGACTACTCACAATAGTAAATTGGTGAAGAATGTCAACCTTTTTCAATTCATTCAGTGCTTCAGCTCTATCAAAATTCACATCTTGGATTTTTTCAATGACACTACTTCCCTCCTTTTCAACCTTCTCTTCCCACAACAAGCTCATTCAATTTTAAAGTTTTTACTTCTTATTCCGTTCACAAAACAATAACTAAAAATTCAAAAAAACTCAAGCTAAGTAGTTGAGTATGTTCTCATCCGCAGTATCTTTCTCAACATATTCCTTTTCAATAACAACATCTATTCGCGCTTTAACGTCGTCCCTTTTCGGTTTGAAATCCAGATCGTTGATAACAACTTTGATCAAGTCGTCCACTGTCATCTTCTTCTCCTTCTTCATAATTCTCACAATAAGTGCGTCAATACGTGTTTGCCTGTCTTGCACAATCTTCTCTCCAACAGTGTCCTTTTCTTTGTTCGTTTCCTTCGTTTGGAACGAGTTGATCTTCACTTTACTCTTCTTGACAACGTATTTGTCATTGATTCGCAACACGTCGGTGTCTTTCACATCTTCAAGTTTCTTGTTCTCCCCTTTCTCGTTCTTCACAATGACAAATTGTTCCTTCCCCATCATACTCTTCATTTGCACATCAATCATATCTTCGTCCCCTTCAAATATCTTCTTCAGTTCTTGC